AAAAGGTCAGCTTGTGCAACTTGGTGAGACCCGGATTGAAAATAAAAAATACAAAGGGGCTGGGGATGTAGCTCAGTAGCTGAGTAAGTTCCCCTGGGTTCAATCCCAGAGAAAGGAAGGGGTTGGGGTTGGGGCAGGGAGAAGAGAGGGAAGGGGGAGAAAAGAAGGAGGGAGAGAGGGAGGGAGAAGAAAAGAAAAAAGAAAAGAAAGGAAGGAAGGAAGAGAGAGGGAGGGAAGAAAGAAATAAGAGAGAGCGGGAAGGAGGGAGGGAAAAAAGTGGTTATCTTTCTTGTTTTGAATGTATTTCAGCAAGAAATGATAGTGACATTTTTGGAAGTTTATTTGGAAAGAACTTACTGAATACACTAACAAGCTGTGTAGACCACTCCCTGCTGTTCAATCTCATGGTGGGCAGTAGAAACACCTGCTTTCTCTGTGTATCAGATTACTTATATGAGTTTTACTAATGAATCCCCAGCTTGATGCCCTATTTCTGCTAAATCTTTGAAAGGAACATTCCCCTCCCTCTCCTCATATCCATACCAAACAGAAATTCAAAATGTAATATACTGTTTCCTATATAACAACGTAGAAAATGGGCTTCCTTCTTCAATAAGGAATACCAGTATTGAAAAAGCACAGATGAAAACTATTTGAAATTTCACCCTATAGATTAGAAGAGATACAACACTTGGGGGGCCACCACTAAAAGGAGAGGGCTTTCGCAAATATTTTCCACTTGAATTTTCAAGTTTCCTCCTTTTGGATAAGGAAAGTGAGGCTCAGAGAGGTCAAGTTATAAGTGACACAGCAGGAATTTTTACCAGTTTTTATTTTTTTAATTTAGATGCAACTCATTATAGCATTACAGTCAACTTCTAGGTGTTGCTTTACTCCCTGAAAATATTCTGCTTTAGAGTATGGAGAGGACAAAAAATTATAGCTCTCCTTTCTCGTGTGTGTGTGTGTGTGTGTGTGTGTTAAGAAAATATGAGGTTTATAAAAGTGGCTAAGGAAAATGTCTAAGCAACAAAGGTTTCTAGGTCCCTCCAGCACTCCTAAGGTTGTAAATAGAAGTGGCTTTATCAACTTACCTGTGCATCACACAGGGGCCTGCGTTTAGAAGGACCCCAGGCTTGGCTTAGTTCTCTGCTGCTGCTATCCTGAAATTCTCAATAATTTTTTTAAAAGCCTGTAAATCTTCATTTTGCACTGAGCTTTCAAACTAGATGCTGTCTTTCATGTAAAGGCCAACAAAGTGAGAGGTTTAGAGGTCATTTGTTGGGGAGCCAAAGAATGGTTGAACCTCAGTGTCTGGGGCATGTGGCTGAGTTAAATAGAATCATGGTGGATGCAACAGACTGGAGATATGCTGGGGTACGTTTTTAGGTAATGTTTTCTCTTCCCAACTGCCTGCTGGGAATCCCAAGGGATAAGATGCTGTCTTTTCTTTCAATACGGGTTGCCATTTTCCCAACCCGGCCCTACTCCTTCATATTAGCTCTGGAAAAGTGTTTTTACACTGATGTTGCTTTAAATATAGCAAGCATAACTGATGTTGCAATATAATCTGATCTCCTTGATGGGGTTTGAAAGATAAAGGGAGTTTTGAGGTCTTCTAGTCCCACTTCTCACTGCCTCAGGAATCTTGCTAGCCCCCAACCTGTAGAAATTTACTAGGAATGACCATGGATTCTTACTATTGCTTCCAATTGATGGCTGTGGATACACCTATTGCCTCTGAGATGATTCTCTTTATTCTCTCTCATCTGTGTTCATTACTAGGACCTTTCATTGTTTTCATGGACAAACTATTCTGATGCTGTTTGCCTAATTCTGCCTTATTCTGGAAAGAACTCTCCTAACCAACCATTCATATTCCATCCATCTGCTCAAACCCTAGAATAGAGTGCCCCTCCATCTTTTGCACTTCCATTGATGGAGCTCTTTCAATGCATGTGATTCAGAGACCCCTGCTGCCTTGGACAACCAGTTGTGTTGCCATTGAACAATCGAGTGTCCCAAATTGATGACAAATTCTTAAAAGTTTTTCTATCAAAAAATTATGTTTGTTTCTTTCTCCCTCTCCCACTCTCTCTCCCTCTCCTTCTCCCTTCCCTTCTCCCTCTCCGTGGTACTAGAGATGGAACCCAGGAGCCCTCTACCACTGAGCCACATCTCCAGCCCTTTTAACTTTTTGAGAGAGGATGTCACTAAATAGTTCAGGCTAGCCTCGAATTTGTGATCCTTCTGCCTCAGTCTCCTGGGATTACAGGCATGTTCCACTATACCTGTCTTGAGTATTTATCTCTATTTGTTTGATCCACTCTGCATAGCTGTTCAATGAGTCAGGAGACTGAGGCAGGAGGATTACAAGTTCAAGCCCAGCCTCAGCAAGTGTGAGGCTAACCTGGGCAACTTAGACTATGCCTCAAAATAAAAAAAAAGGGGGGGACTGGGGATGTAACTCAGTGCTTCTCTGAGTTCAATCACCTGTACCACAAAATGAATGAATGAATGCATGTATGCATGAATGAATGAATAACTGTTTGATATTTTTGCAGTCTCTAAAGACAGCATTGAGACTGGGGGTTCCATAGGCCAACCTGTAATTTGGAAAGAATTTCACATCAAAAAGAATGCTTAATAGGAAGAAAGAAAACAAGAACTCCTAGTCAAAAACACTAATATTTATTTTGAGAAAATATATTTAGGCTCAGTGATGTAATGGAGAGATTTCTCTGCCTCAATTTCCAGACATAGTTTGCCTTGAAAACCTCTTGCCTGGGGCAATAGTCAGCTTCTGCATGAGATCCTGAATAGCTCAAACCCTAAAGGAAGCAGATAGACTAGTCGGGAACGTCATGGAAGTTATCAGGAATTAGTGTCCTTTTTATAATATTTTCTTGGATATTCTTATAGCTTAACTTTTTTGTATAATAAAATGAGTAATCCTCCTATTTGAATTTCATCAATATGATGGAGCAAAAGACCATGACTCTCATGTATCTCTAGGGTTATATATGGAAAGACTGAAAGGAAATGTGCAAAAATATTAATAATGATTATCTTTCAGTTGAAGGATTAACTTTTATTTTCCTTCGAGTTTTGAATTTTTCCACAGTTCACTTGGCATAATAAAATGTGTATTACTAAAAATTTATTTCTACTCAATAGTAAGAAAACAAAACACCTCATTAAAATAAGGAGCCAAAGATGTTAACAGACATATCAACAAAGAAGATATAGAGGCAAATAGATGTAAAAGATACTCTGCTTCCTGTGTCATCAGGGGAAATACAAATTAAAACAACATTGAGCACACCTATTTGAACAGCCAAAATCCAGAATACCTACAGTACCAAGTGTTAGCAAGGATAGGGAACAATAGTAAGTCTTATTCACTTTTGGCAGAAATGCAAAATGGCACAGCCATGTTTGTAATTTAAGGATAATGACGGAAAGGTTATCTGTATGCTTTTCTATTTAGGCATATCAGAGTTTCAAATATGAACTGAAAACTGTGACAGAAATTGTGCTCTGCTAAAACCAAAGTCAGACATTAACAAATATTCTACTTCTCCTCATGGCTGTAAAAAACCATACTAACTCCACGTTTATAGTGACCAAAACTCACGGTAAGTCTAAATTATGTGGTTATACTGGTTTGGCTCACTTGTTTTAAAGGAAGTAGCTATCATACGCAATTCAAGCCATCCCTTGTGCTTAGCATTTGAAGATTTTGACAGAATTTTCTCTGATAAAATTTGAGTTTGATACACACAGAATAAATTATTGTATAACCTCAATAAAAATTAACTTTATAAGTAGATTTTTTAAATGCTGAAAAAATGTAAAGAACTTAAAAAAGGAGCATCACTGTTGGATCAACAGACTCCTGTAACAGTGCCTTTTATCGATCACTTAGATATTCAAGTCAAACAGTTTGAACACCCACAATTTACTACAGTATTCAAATAAAAGAAAGAAACTAACACAAAACAAGACAAAAATATGTCATGATCCCTATGAGAAGATTTAAATCTAAATAAATGCAATCTACTGCCTGTCCCCTCCCCATCAATTCCCATCCTAGACATGTGAATAGTTGGTTTGTTTTCACTTTTTTCAACCACTGTTAGGTAGCATTGGTGCCTTGTTTTCCAGAACTTCGTGACAGCTTTACCTACAGCTGCTAACCACCCACTATATTAATAATTCAGAGTTCTTTAAATCTTGATGCTGTATACAGTATTCACAGTTCTCACTCAGTCTATTATGTCGGAATTTGTTTTCTTACAGATCAATATGGAGCACCTATAAAGAATTGTGGAAAGTATTTACAGACCCAACTTGTACAAGTGAGTTGATTTCTAAATAACAAAATTCAATGGAAAGAGGAAAAACTATAGTCCAGCTTCCCTGTTCATCATGCTTCCAGCCCTCCATGGGTCTATTTTTGCACATTCCAGATATCAACAAGAAATTATCTGGCCAGCAGCCCATACTTCTTATAAAATTGAGAAATTTTGAGTCAAGGAACTAGGGAAATGTAAGTGGGAACAGTTATCAAACTATACCTTGAAAGTGATAGTGAGTTGAGATCTCAGGATAGACAAAATTATTTAGAAAACTACCAAAGTGTAAAGACTTTGAGCCATGGACTAGACAAAATCTAGAATTAAATTCCAACACTGTCATTGAGAAGATACTGTAATGGTCAAGTTATTTTGCATCTCCAAGCCTCTGTTTTGTTTCTTTGGTTTGATCCATAATACAAGAAAAATAATACATACTTTTTAGGGTTTTTGTGATAATTTAAAGAAAGCATCTAATATACTCTCTTAGCACAGCATCTGGTATGTAGTTCACTATTAAGAATATAGAGATTATAGAAGATGTTGGTTTTCTTGCTGTTCTAGAAGCCCTCCTCTAAATCACTCATACAAACATATTCAAGAGAACCCCATGCATTTTCAATTATTTTTAGTGTCTCTTACCTTTGCTTTTATTGTTAGTTCCTCGTGCTTACAAGTTAGCTCCTCATTGTCTGAAAGTGATGAACCTAGACTTTGTTCCTGCAAATCTCTTATGGTTTTTTGAAACCAGCAAGTAACCTAGGAAAGAAGCAACAAAGAAAGAACAAAATTCAAATGATGCAAATAAGTCAGTATAAACTCAGGAATAATTCCTCAACCTTTTAAAGCTTAAGCCACTTTAATTTCTCCTTCTATAAAGTAATCCCATGTATTAAATGAATATAAGGTTTTATTTCTCTTCATTTCAAATTCTACATTCCTAAGAGAAAAAAAAAATAATTTCAGAAAAGCACAAAAATTACTTATCAGCTCAGTAAATTACATGGCATAAAGAAAATCTCAAAAAGAATGAAAATGAGTTCTTTTGTATCCTATAAATCATGCATTCTTTTCAAATGCTTTCTTTCATTAATATAAATATGAATCTGAATGTAGTTACATAGACCTAGATGGGGATATTAAACAACATATAAAATTATATTTTCTACTATAAAAAAGACAATGCAAAACTACTTAGATTGCTCTCGTTGCTAGAAATCTGTATGCAGAAATTAAACAGAAAAATTATTAAAATTCCATTGACATTTTAAGTGGCTAAGGGCATGATTCATTCATATAGATTCGATTTACACTACATGCCATACACCATGTTAGAACAACAAATATCAAAGAACTTGAAAGAAGCCATAAATTCACTGTCTCTTTCTCTCTCTCTCAATGCTGGGAATTGAACTCATCAAACATGCTAATAAATTACTCTACCACTAAGCTTCATCCTTAATCCTGATACCATACATTTTTCAAACAATGCTATAGTTTGACCTGGGACTTATGACTTGGGACCCCTGAATGCAGGTTCCTTATCCCAATTAAATAAAAGAGTTGAATTTATACTCTCAAATCCTTATA